ATATATTTTTCCTCCCCACTCTTTAGCACGCCACATATCTGTCTTGGCAGTAGTATGTGTGAAAAGGATCCAGGGGTCTTAATAGATTGCTGGCTAAATGTGAGTCAAAAGTATGGCAAGGAAGCTAACACAATAGTGGGTGGTCACAGCAGTTATCTACCAAACCACTAAAAAAATGTACAGAATTAGGGTGGTCAGCCGGACCCAAGGCTCTCTAAAGTAATGGTTTTAAAACTCATTATAAATACTGTACAAATAACAAAAAATTAGTCACATGTATTTAATTCCTTTTTTCATTAATTCATGTTTGGCTACATTGCATTGCAGCATAATTAGAGATAATTTCAGATTCAATTTTAATTTTTAGTTACTTTACAGCCACTGCAGTGTGTCAGAGAAAGAATATTATGCACCAATTGGTCGCTCATGCTGCCGCTCATTAACTAATTAGGAAGTCCTTAGAGCTGCAACTAATTACTTTTCAAAATTAACTGTCCAAGCTCTGTATCAGTCTTTGCTTTCAGTGGGTGCCCCTTCCTTTTATCTGTAGAAGGGCTACTAGTAGTTCATGGAATCATGCCAAGTTCTATCAGAAAATGGTTGTCACCTTTCCAAAAAGGGACACTATCTGTAGACCTCACAACTGGTGGCAATACTACAGGCGCCACTAACTGTCTCCATCAGGTTGTATGCAGAAGGGTTGGGAATAGAGATGGGCATGATCAGTTGGTCCAGCAGTTCGGGCCAGTTTGTCACTTGGGTGAACAAGTGTTCAGTGGAGGTGGGGATCCAAAGCTCCAAACACCTGTTTGTCCAAAGGATGAACCAGCACAAACTGCCTAACCAGTGGTTTGTGCCCATCTCTAGTTGGGTGGGATGTGTTTACTAAGAGTCCTGAAGGGTATAATTTATTAAAAAGGAATGAGCTACACTGAGGAAAGGGTTACCACTACATGTAAATAATCTATATCCCTGTGATGAGGTCCATTACTTGGAGCATAGCTGGTGAAGACCATTTGAGTAAAGATCACAGGAAAAGAAAACAAGGATAGTGTCACTATGGGAGGAGGGTCTACCACAGGTTTCCAAGCTAGAGTGAACACGAAACTGAACATTCAAAGAGGGGATCTGTATCAGCAATGGGAGACGGCGACTGTTGCAAACTCAACCAGAAATGTAGGCCCAACAAGTTCGTCATTTGCCCTTCTGACAACTACACTTTCCAGAAGGCAGAAGAAGCAAGAAGAAGATCAGCAGAGGCTGGTTCTCACTATTAGAAAAGAACTTGTCAGTGGGGTAAAAGTAGTGGAAACTTTGGGTAGAAGTGGCCACACACACACCCCCTTGGGATAAGTGTAAGGAAGTGCTAGATGAGCCTCCATAGTGAGAAATACTAAAAAAAGAAAGGTGATACTAAAGGCAGGATCACAAATAAGTCCTAAGGGAAAGAACAGCGGGAGGTACCTAAAGAAACCACTGTAGCTCTCTAAGGATATTTCAAATAAGTGAAGATTTGAAAGGAGCACATATAGGAAATGGGAGGAGAGGCAAATCACTAGGGAAAAGTACAGAAGAATTGCCAGTACAGTACTTGAAGGGTCTTGCTTTAAGCAAGAGGAAGAACAAGGAAGTGATAGGTTCACTGTGGAAAGGATAGAGAAATGCTAATAGGTAGCAACACCTGACGGCATCCAAGGGTGACAAAGGAAACTTCAGATGTACTTTCAGAGTCAGTCTATAATCTTTAAGAATGCTCGGAGAACAGGTGACGTCTCCAAAGACCAATTAGTAATTGTCTGATGTCAAGTCAATTTTGACTTATGGCACCCCTTCCCAGGGTTTCCTAGGTAGGGGATCCTCAGACGTCTTTTGCCATTCCCTTCTTCTGGGGTCACCCTGGGACTGTGCAGCTTGCCCAAGGCCATGCAGGCAAGCTGCACAGTTGGGAGCCACACTGCAGAACTGAACTCCCAAACTCTGGCTACGCAGCCCGATACATAACGCCCTGAGCAAACTAGCCAGCACCTCCAAAGGCTAGAAAGTGGGCAAATGTGGTCCTTGTCTTTTTTTTAAAAAAGGGGGGAGGGGGAGAGGATCCGCCAAACTACTGACCAGTCAGCTTAACACTGATATCAGGAAATGTTTTAGAATAGCCCATTAAACAGTGTGTCTGTGAGCACTTAGAAAGAAATGTGCTACAGTAATTGGTGAGAAGCAACAGAGGTTTCTCAATAGCAAGTCGTGTCAGACTACAGAGGATGAGATGGCTGGACAGTGTCACCGAAGCAACCAACATGAATTTGACCCAATTCTGGGAGGCAGTGGAAGACAGGAGGGCCTGGCATGCTCTGGTCCATGGGGTCAGATCATTAAACGTTTCGCAGGTGATGTGATTGTCAGTGGAGGGCATCCATGGTGACACCGGACTTGGGAAAAAAGGCTTGTGAGAACAGTTGAGGGAGCTGAGTGTGTTCAGCCTGGGAAAAAAAAAAGAAGAGGTGATAGGATGTTGTTGTTTAGTCGTTAAGTCCTGTGACAAACAAAACGATGCCTGAAAGGAAAGGTCTTTGCCCGCTTCCACCTCTGAGGCATTCCACACACCCCTGGCAGCACCATCAGAAATGCACTGTCTTGTGACCTCACTACATGGGAGGGTGGTGAGACCAAGTAAAGAGCCTCCCCCCAAGATCTTAAGGGCCAGAGTCAGGCCTGATTGGTTTGGATTCTGTGAACTTTGGGTCCTTTCTAGGCATATGAATCTTTCATTCTGTGATAGCAGGAAAATCCTCCTGAACTGTTATTGAGGATGTTGCCATGCTTTTTTGCATTCTTCTTGTTGTTGTTGTGGTGGTGGTGGTGGTGGTGTGCTGTCAGTGTTTGGAACCTACTTATAGTGACCCTAATAGGGCTTTCAAGGTTGGTGAGGTATTTAAGGAGTAGTTTTACCAGTTTACCAGTTACCTGCATGGCTGAGCGGGGATTCAAACCCTGTTCTCCAGAGTCCAAAACTCTATCCCGACTAAACAACGACAAACAAAACGACACCTGAAAGGAAAGGTCTTTGCCCGTTTCCTCCTCTGAGGCATTCCACCGCCGGCAGCACCACCACAAATGCACTCTCTTGTGACCTCATCACATGGGAGGGTGGTGAGACCAAGAAAAGAGCCTCTCCCCGAGATCTTAAGAGCCAGACTCAGGGATGATCGGTTTGGATTCTGTGAACTTTGGGTCCTTTCTAGGCATATGAATCTTTCATTCTGTGATAGCAGGAAAATCCTCCTGAACTGTTATTGAGGATGTTGCCATGCTTTTTTGCATTCTTCTTGTTGTTGTTGTGGTGGTGGTGGTGGTGGTGTGCTGTCAGTGTTTGGAACCTACTTATAGTGACCCTAATAGGGCTTTCAAGGTTGGTGAGGTATTTAAGGAGTAGTTTTACCAGTTTACCAGTTACCTGCATGGCTGAGCGGGGATTCAAACCCTGTTCTCCAGAGTCCAAAACTCTATCCACTACACCACACTGGGAATCTCCAGTGTTCTTTTTTTGCACATAACAAAATAAAATGGGCTTTTCAGCTGTTCGCAGCTTAGCAGAAGTTACAGGAGTGTTACAAAATGCATGATGTTATATTCCAGGAGCCCCACTTTGTCATTACTGGAGAAAGAATTCAGGAAGCAAGAGGACACGTCAGTGAGTCAGAAACGCACCATCAGGACTTTCTGTTCTTTCAGCATTAAGAAAGTGTCATACAAAGCAAATCTATTTGCTGAGGGCAGAATAAATTATGAAAACTAACAAGGATTTGACTATGTTTCTATAGAATATATTTGGACAGTCAAAATTAAGTCTGATGGTATTGAGATGTTGAAAGAGAGTAGGAAATGGGTTCATGGCATGAAATGGGGTGCTAGTGAAAACTAGCTGTCAAAATAGGTATTGAGGAAGGGGTTGAAATCTAGATTGCTTCTGCATTTAATTTCAGCCCTGTTAACGGCAGTGATCTACAAAAGGCTTGAAGTAAGCAAGTGAGGGAAGGAGGACATCAACTCTGCCTCATTCATCCTAACTCTCTGCATGTGTAGAATCGTATCTGAAGCAGGAGTTAGTCCTTCCATGCAATCAGAAATCCTGAAAAATCAGAGTAGGCAATAACATGGAGAAGCTCCATGGAGAGAAATAGGTCTCCTTTATAGATTTACCTCCACTCTTTTCAGGGGGTGGGGGGAGATGACGTCATTGGCAAATTGCTGAAATTCAGTGTTTTTCTGTATGGAGCGTCTATCATTCTTGATCTGATCTGAGCCTATTTTAAAATTTTAAAAGAAGCTACAGTGCCTTGCGTCCACGGTTTCAGCTGATAAATCATTGTGAGGCTGTCCAGAGTTCCTATGCCTTCCTCTTTGTAGATTCCACTTATTTTATTGTTTCCTAGTACGGGTGAGATTATTAATGAACAGCATCTTAATTGCCCTGTGAGTAATCTCCATTAATTTCCCCTTAGTACCATTTTCTGTTTCTGTGGGAACGTGTGCTTAATGACCTATTTCATCCTACAGATTCTTCTTCTCATGCACACACCAACACCAGTCCACACACAACCCAAACCACGGTAACCAGAATCGTGTAAGAAAAAAAAATACATGTGCCACAGGTTTGCACCCTCTGACATGGCATCCGCCACGCAACCGGTCACACATCGGTTGCAAAATTAGTTGTGCCATGGACGCCCTTTCAAAAGGTGAAAACCACATGTGCGGTTATCTTTCCACATGTTTAGAAATAGAAATAACAGCATTTGAGAAAATGTAAGTAATTTTCCACAGTTCCATTCCTGCAAGAAGACAGGAAATCCTGGAAAGCCATTTCGAGGCAGAGTTGACAACCTTGGGCAGGAGACACTGTCATCATCGAAGGCAGTTTGCGGTATTTCTGTGATTAAAGGTGTGCTGACACTTTTTAGGACTGCTTTTTTCTTTACCTCCTTTTTTCTCCCCTGAGGCAGAATCTATTTGATAGCATCAAGAATGAGCCTTTCTCCATCCCAGAGGATGATGGAAATGATCTCACTCACACTTTCTTCAACCCCTGTCGGGAAGGCTGGCTCCTGAAACTAGGTAATACGCTTGTATTTGTATTTGGCTAAACATCTCACCTCTCCCTTCCTCCCAGAATCAACCCCTCTCTCAAGGAAATCAGCAAAGTCCCTCATTCAACTTAGGACTGGAGCAGCCACCAACCTTGTGACTTGTGGTGGGGCTACAGTGCCCCCTGGTGTTCAAATCAGGGATGAATTTCTCAAAGATCCCCTTTTCTCTAAACAGAAGTTAATTTCCACAGCGATTCTCATTCTGCCTGTTTCTACATCACATTGCAATCTTCTCCTCACCACCTACTGCACGGACATTAATGTATATTTTATATATACAACTGTATATTTGTTAAACTCCACACATTTTTGCATTTTTAAATGTATATACAGTTTCACAAGCCTAAATTTTGAAATATGTACTTTTTCCTGGGCCCATTTTCACATGTATGCATGTTCTTGAGCCCTTTTTCTTTGTTTTTTTTTAATGAAATTGTAAACTTAGAAATACATAGTTTCAAATGCAAATTATATTTGTGCATATGATCACTTCATGAACCTGCATTAAAACACAAACCCAACAAATGTTTCATGCATCCTTGTTCCTTTTGAGTGCTTTATATATTTGTGTACACAAGTAAATGGACTGACATATTTGGATTCTTCTTCTTCTAGGAGGCAGGGTGAAGACCTGGAAACGCCGTTGGTTCATTCTGACAGACAACTGCCTGTATTATTTTGAGTATACCACGGTAGGAAGGATGTTCCATGGAACGATGCTTTTTGCAGAAATTATTTCAAGAGAAAGAGTACTCTGTTCTTCTGGGCTAGTAATAATAATTGTGTGCTGTCGAATGGATTACAACTTATGGTAACATTTTCCAGTGTTTTCCAGATATAGAATATTCAATAATAGCGCATAAGTCTCTTCCTCTGAAGGTAAACTGTGCAGCTTGCCCAAGGCTACACGGGTTGGGAGGCAGAGTAGGGAATCCAGCTCGTGACCCTTGCCTCTGCAGACAGCTGGAGCTCCTCTCATAAAGAGTGTGAAGGCCCCAAAAATACAGATACATATATACGTATACTGTTTATAAATAGGGAGTCAGGAAGACTGAGAATCTCTTTTGCTGTAAATGGGCCTCTTCACACCTCCCCTGCAACATCTTGGAACATTCCAATGTGTTTGAAGGTCACATAGGCCTTATCGTATTTCTAGGAATTGAGGTCAGCTGAAGCTCGCTACATTTGGCGTGAGGAATCTTATTTCTGTATGTGTGCTATCTTACCATATGTTGCTATATGTTTCACTTTTTTTCCTCTTCAGTACCTACTCACTATCACTTGCAAATGGCACCTTCCACCCAGAAGCAATGGTGTAATAATGATGGAATATGATTACCATTTATACCTAATTTTCCCCTTGCTTGTTTTAACTCTTAAAGTACCTTCAAAAATGGAACTGACTGGTACTCTCTTCAGTTTTTATTTTAATAAAAGGTCCTTTTAAACCTAAAAGAGGCATAGGATGAGATTGCTGACCACAATTTGCAATTTTGGAGCCATTTTTTACAGGGGTGGGAAGTCTGGGATACCTGAGACCCCACGTGGGGGTCTTGGGGGCGTCGTGCAAGTCATAGGCCACACGTTGTTACCTTTATGTCGGTGGACTGGAGAAGTGGATGAGCCTCACAGGTACAGCTCCAAATATTCTGCTGTGAGACAATCCATGCATTCTACAGGAAGCATGGATTACACAGTAATGGCTGAGCTACTGCTGGGCTCCAAAATCTCTCAGAGGAACCTAGATATGACAGAAGCAACAGATGGAGGGGGAAGTGTCCACTAGCCGCACACAACATGTTCTGAGCCTGGGCAGTGAGGCCTCACCCTGTGAGTGGTGGCCACTTGTCGATGCCTAATCATCTACCCCACGCTAGATAATCCTTGGCGGACCACTAAGGAGGGCATGTTGTTGGAATAAGAGATCAACAGGCTGAGCGCAAGACATTTTAGTGCTTGAGTAACAAATGACGCCCTCCATCCCATGTAAAGGTGCACTGCTCCCAAAACTACCCCAGTTATCCCTCTAGTATCGCTCCCCATTGCTGGAAGTAAACAAAAAAGCAAGCAAAAACAAAAGACTTGAGCCAATAAATGACAATTTTACGTCTCCTTGAAGATTCTCAAAATCTGCTTCTGGTAGCTTCTTCCCTCGGCACACAAAACTCTGCTCCTGGCTGCCATTTCAAACTTATTTTAAAAACACACACATACACACGCAGGTTCCTCCCCATTCTGGCCATTAGATGTCTTTCACATCTTGCCTATTGCAGGTGTTGCTTTTCTGCTGCTGAAGTGGCACACATACAGGAAACAGGGAATTATCACTTCCCCTACCGTTGCAGTGGAGTGTGACCTAGAAGCCCCTACCAATTACTTGTGCGTGCACTGAGAGATAACTTGTCTTTGATCTGTTTTCTAGGACAAAGAGCCTCTGGGGATTATTCCACTAGAAAATCTATCCGTTCGAAAAGCAGATGACCCAAAGAAACCGGTAAGTCACTACCATTAATTGTGTGATATGAGGGGCTCCCCTGGTTTAACAGCAACTTCTTTGTCCTCTTTTCTTGGACTAAGGGAACATTCTTCCTGCTTCCCCATTTCAGTGGGTGTCCTATAGAATGAAAGTCTAGGCCAGGTAGGCCTTTGTAGACTGCTGATTCTGCAAATCAGAAAGGGTGAATGTGACTGCAACAAAATGTTGCACTGTGGAATGCTCTAGTCCAGGTTTCTAGCTCTGAAGCCATGTCCTTTTCCAAGACCTGAGTTGAGCTGCTAATTATAGGACCTTTGGAGGTCACTAATTCACAAGGTTGCCCTGCGTTGGAAGCTACTTGTTACCACATAACAACTGTATGGCTTTTTCACACTTGCATCTCCCTTTCTTTCTGCACTGGTGGTGCCATATAAGAACTGCCCAAAATATGCATTTCCTATATTGAGGAAATTCATCTCCTAAAGCTACGTTGTTTGCATTATTCTGACATAACTAACTTGGACCAGAATACCACATTATTTCTCACTGAGGATTTGAACAGTTTGCATACTGCTTCCCTCAACATCCTAACTGAAAAGGATGACAACTAGAGATGGGGGAATTCGTATACAAATATGGCAACTAGAGATGGGGGAATTCGTATATAAATATGTATATCCCCACACAGGTGGCAACAACGAGGGTCCAGCCCCATAGGGCCGGATGGTCCACTCACTGATCCGCCGCTACCGCGGACTCTGCAATTCTTCCAATGGCTCTGCAGAGCATGATCTGAAAGCCACTCTTCAACCTTACAGCGAGGCTTGTCCTCCCGCCTCCTGCCAGGAGTGGATAGCCAATCATGATCTGCGAAGCCATTGGAAGAATCGCAGCATCCACAGCAATGGCGGATCGGTGAGTGGACCGTCCGGCCCCACGGGGCTGGACCCTCGTTATTGCCACCTGTGCGGGGATATTCATGTTCGTATGGGAATATGAATACCGCCATCTCTAATGGCAACCTTTTTAATATTGTGGGTTCATTTCCTTGGGTACCATCTTCTGGAGATGGGAATAAAGCCAGTGCTTACACCTGGAAGAAGGAGCCAGCACCACCCAGGGAATTCCCATAAGGTCCCAACCTCCTTCCCTCCGACTCTAAAACAAAACAAACCTCCTTGTTCTGCGCATTCTTTCTAAAGGAGGGTGGAAGTACAGGTATGTTTGTACAAATCGTGACCAAGAAAATACAAACCCAGGTAATATGAGAATGGGTTTCCTCCCAGAGAGCTAACTGAGCTCATCTCGGAGGCTCACCGTATATTGAAATTGGCACCTTGAGGGGAAAAAATACAACCCAATTACTTTTGGACATCGTTATTTTCAGCGATGGATTTCACCTGGAGGAATACATCTGTCGTTAAAAAGACGCTTGAGAAGCAATCCTTCCTTACTGGTGTCTAATCTAATCAAGATCTTGAGGGAAGCCCTCTCTTTAGCAATGCCAGTCACGGGGCCCATCATGTTGGAAGGTTGCACAGGGAGGCAAATCAAGACCAGATCCAACCAAGTGATGGCTATCAATGGCTCTTCTGTAAAACTGGAACTTCCTTAGCCAGCAAACTGTGCAATAAATTAACTAGCAGTCCTTACAAAATTACGTTATAAACTGTCTAGAGAGTGCTCTAGCACTATGGGAGGTATTAAGTCAAAACAGCAACAGCAACACAAAAGGAAAACAATTCACAGAATAGAACAGAACAGAATAGAATAGAAGGAAGGGGCTTATGAGGCCATCAAGTCCAACCCCCTGCTCAATGCAGGAATATAAATCAAAGGATACGTACCCAGGTGATTGTCTAACTTTCACTTGAAAGCCTCCAGTGTTAGAGCACTCACTCATCTTTCAACATTTCACAAATTATACACAATGCCATGTCCAACATTAATTTGTATTGTTCAGTGTTTCTAAACTGTTTCTAAACTTGTGGTCTTTTAAAAGCATTATTGTGTTTTTCATTATTTATTTAATGCTGCAACTTATCGGGAGCGCAGAAATCTGAACAGAATGACTCTTCATACTCCCATTAATACAATTTGAACCTTCCGATTGACCAGAAACCCTACATTATCAGGGTTCTTGAGCCTACAAAAACATTCTACTCAGATTCAAGCAGAAGCCCACTTCAGATTTCTGACACAACACAGGGAGGTCAAGGGCTTAGATGGCAGAGACAAGGATGCTATGGGTGGGTTGTCATGCCCAGTCTCTTCATCTTCCTCTTGCACCATCTATGGGCATAGCACCCGTATGGAGTTTCATAACACTAGCAGGCTTTCAGGATTGAAGCATTTGGACTTTTTGATTAGCAGGGCCACCTCCCCCGCACAATATCAGCTTGCTATTCTATTCCTGTCCTCTGATCCTAATAAATGAGCTATGCATTATGCATACACACGCACACACAGAGAGAAAAATTGTGCTAATATACATATAAAGATATGAATCAACACCGCTGCCTATATTTTTGTACCTTCCTTGGAGGCTACATTCCCCACATTAGTTCTGCACATTAGTCAAGGAGGTGGGGACCGGATCAATTTATAATGAAGTGCCCAAAGAATAAATTCCTTAAGCAAATAAAACAAACAAATAAAATGGCATTCTCCTCTTAGAAATGAATTGCAGAATAAAGGCACAGTTAACAAATGAGATGTGGAACAATTTTCTCAGGATCAAACGCTCAGTCCTTGTCAGAAGAAGAAATACATTTAAAATCTTTCAGTCTCATGTTTTTACCACTGGGTTGTATGGGACTGTAGCGTGGAATGTAATTGAGCTTTTTCAGCCTAAACCACAAGAAGACACATGGAAAGCACATGCTAGATGTCCTCATATATACAGCTTTGCTGATCCTCAATCTTTGATCCCTTTCCATGGTCTGTCCACAGAATTGTTTTGAGCTGTTCATTGCAAACTGCAAAGGCCAGAAAATCAAAGCTTGCAAGACGGATGGGGATGGCAAGGTGGTTGAAGGCAAGCACCAATCCTACAAGATCTCTGCAGCCTCATCAGAGGAGCGGGACCTATGGATTGAAGCGATACGGTAAGGGTGAAAGTTACTGGTTTCCATGTAGACATCATCATAGAGTCCGCTTTGTCCATTTGGCTTCTTCCCATTTCATCCTTCAAATAGTCTTTGATGCCCTCCTGTGAAGATAGCAGGTATTTTTCTGATGGCTAAGTCTCAAATGCCTTCCGCTTTTCTTTCTTCCAGAACCAGCATCACCCAAGATCCTTTCTACGACCTGGTTGCTGCTCGTAAGAAAAAGATCGCCAACAAAAAGTGAACTTTGGCCGCCATTTTGCTCAGTGAATGTTTTCCTGTGAGGAAATGGCCATCCTGGAGTCTGGCCAGAAAAGGGACTTGACATAACTTCCTGGCCTGAGAGAACAGGCCAGCGATTGACAAGCTAATGAACAGCCACTGCTTTCCACTCCGAGAGCTGGAATATAAAGAAACTGAGATTACTGCAGGAATTATGGCTCATTTGTGGAGACAGATAATAACAGGCATCAACATTTGCCAAGAATATTGTAGGGCTGGGGTGCATATATTCACTGTTCTGTGATCTGTCAGAGAACCTGGGGACCCAGAAACATTGCCTATTCTGGAAATGGCCGGTAGAGCTACAATGCCTTTTATATGCATCAACTAGGAAAGACTTGAGTGCATGGACTCTTGCCCTATCTGACGTCGTACCCAGCAGCCCGAAATAATGGTCCTGTTCCAGTTATGTTGTATATAATGAATGAATCCATTAGGAGTGACAGAATGAAAGACAAGAGCAAAGGAACACAATGCAATGTGCTGGAGCCTGACCAGCCTAAGCACTTGTATGTGGCTGGCTTTCTGAACTTGGCAAGTGGCTCTCTGGAACATCTCAAGTGCTGCCAGGGCTAATGCAATGCTGAATGTCTGCTTCTCTGGACAGAAGCTTCCAGCCAAAATCTGGCTGTAAAAGAACGATGCAGAGAGTAGAGAGTTGAGCTTGCATAGTCCTCCATCTGGCTGCCCCGTCAACAAGAGAGTGGACTGATAATGTGGGAACAATTCTGTCATCTTTTGAGAGAGTTCACACAGCAGGTGGACTGAGAGCTGGGCTTTGGATCAGGAGGCAAAGCAAGCGCATCAAATGCCATCTCAGCCGTGACTGTGGTTTTGTACAAAGGGCTCTTTCTCATGGGAGTGCTTCTTATCTGTAAAAATTAGTCTATAAATACCCGTCTCACAGTTACTGCACGAATGAATTGAATTACAGTGAGAGTGTTAAGTGCTGTATAAAATCAAGACTGACAGATTTCAGGTTTACAAGGTCTGCTCTGTTTGTCATCAGAACCATATACAAGGATTGTATGATTAAGTGATAAGGAACAGGTTGTTTCTTAATTCCAGCATAGTTCAGGAATTTGTGGTGTATGCCAGACAAAAGTGATCAAGTTTTTACCTGCAAGAATCCATTCTGGTTTCCCGATAAGCATTTTTTTTTTCAGTCATGTAATTTATGGGGAAGGGATTTTTTTTAGCTGATGCTACTGTCTATTGCCACTTGTCAGACCGCTGGGAATCATAAATCATTATTGATCTGCTGCCAATCACCACAAGATCTGCTCCTAGATCACAACCCACCTTCTGCCAATGGCTGGTATAAGCAGTTTGTGAATCAGCAGTGTTCTGTAAAAGGATAGGAAGTTTCTTGAAGTTATTCTAAGAATTAAAAGATGGGTAGATGGAAAGAATCTACCTCAAAATGCCAGAGGTAAAGTATAATGTTATCTCTGCTCCTCACAAGATCAAATTATTCCACACAGCTGGAAGTCATGAAAATAAAAATAAAACTAAATATGTGGGAAATAATTGATGTAGCTTTTTATGCCTGCAGTTTCAGCTTCACTTTATTGACACCAGAGTACCAGTGTATTTCTTTACTCCTCATCCTCATCAAATAGTTGTAGTTACGTAATTTGGCAGGCCCCGCCCATCTGAAGCAGGTCTGTATCAAACTCTTTTGGTTTGTTTTCCTGTCCAGTATCTCCTGTTCAGTCCTTGAGCTCTTCAGCTATAACTATGGCAGGCACCTCTCCGAAGATGAAGGACAAATCCCTGAAGCCCCATGGGCTCTTTTGTGTATCTTTTTTTAAAAACCACCAAAGAACTCTAGTTTCTTTCTTTCTGTTTAAAACCATGTTTCTAGCATTTGGGATGCTAAAGATTGCTTTGAAAACCTGCAAGCCATACCAGAGAGGTGGCAGTATAAGCGTTACGTTAGGGATGAGACCTCTTGTGTTCTAATGAAAGACCCACCCAGGGTGGAATACAAATGGAAAAGAAGGGCCTGTTTTAACCAAGTTTCCCAAGTTTTTTCCCCTTGTTTCTACACTGGATTATGTCATTTACAAAAAGAAATTCTCGCACATTGTTTGGGCATGCATTCCCTTCAAATGCATGCATTTCCCCCCAATATATCTCTTCGCGCGTGTGCGTGCGCGTTTATTATTCAAATACGCATATTGTGAGTTGTCCATTTTGTTTAGCTGTGTTTCGGCTTCTGCACATTTTCTCCTTCTCCGCATACAGCGCTAGCCTTTTTAAAGGTACTGAACAGATTTCTAAGGCCAAAAAACAAAAACAAAAAGAAGAAGAAGAAAAAGAAAAAGAAGAAAAAGAAAAAGAAAAAGAAAAAAAAGAGAGAGAAAAAGGATTCTTCCCGGCGGCGCTCTTGGAACTTGGAAAATGGATGTTTTCGTACGGAGATACGACCTGGAAAAATTTCCTCCCCACTTTCCATCTGGAAGCCTGAGCGCGATATCCATTATGTAGTGGTGGCCCGAAAACGAGAAGGGACGAGGAACTGAAGCGCCAAGGCCACCTCTCTCCCGACCTCCATTTTTCCCGGCTAGTCTTGATTTAATAACCGCGTCAAGAGCGCCGTCCCCTCGCCGCCGGGCTTAGCGCTCGCTGCTTGATCTCCGCTCGCTGCCTTTTTATCACCAGCTCCCCGTTCTCCCCCTTTCCTCCTGAAGGGGGCGCTGTCTGCTAGGCAATCTCTCCCGCAATCGCTCCGCAGCCCGCTCACTCCCCCGCCTCGCCCCGCTTCCTTTCTGTTCTGGCCGGTGCAACAGGGCAGTTGGATTAATTCCGACAGGCAGCTTGAAGGCTTCTTAAAGTCAAGGCACGTGCGGACCAGGGAGAAGGACACACGTTGACTGACGGCCCTTGCGCCGCTTTGCTTTGCTCTCATGACGACAATACATTGACGATCTCTCTCTCTCTCTCTCTAACTGGTTAGGCCATCCATGGATGGATCTCCTTTTTGCCAAGGGAATAAACCGCTCCCACCCAGCCAGCCACCTCCGACCGCAGTCCCCTGCAGGTTTCCAAGCCTGGTATTACGAGGCGCGAGAGTTAGAACATTGCACTCGGTTGGAAATGAATCCGCAAAATTTATGGAAAAGGTTGACTCTGCCAGCAGCTTGCCTTCCAGCCTGGCTCCAGCCCAGAAACAGAATGTTTGGGCTGCTGCACGATTTGCTCAATATATTTGCTGGAGGATGCACAAAGGGGGGAAAATCTATTCTTGGAGCTGGAGAAATCCAGTTACAGTTCTTTTTGCCTCTTTTCTTTTCTTCTTCCTCCTACCCAGAAGAGGCTGGCTCCAGAGTTTATTCCAGGTACTGTAACCCATCCCACCCACCCGGCATTGCTTAAGCTGAGCAGTGACTAAAACCCACCCAAAGAAGAGCAGGTCCAACCAGTTCCTTGTAGGGTGGGTGTCCTATTTTACAAAGAGTAATCCTCTCTTTGAAAAAAGCTAGAGGCTATGGCTTTGTTTGAAGGCACTCTACAGGTAGTGGCCCAGAAATGGCAGGTGTCAGACATGATATAAACTAAGCTTATCTATATGAGGAGTAAGATTAGAAAACCTTCCTTCTAGATTTGATTAACTGTCATTGCTAGAGCTGAGAAGAAGGAGCTTAAATTCAGAGATCTTTCCCTAGAGAAAATATCCCCCGCATTTTCTTCTGAGATCTAGGATGTTAAAGGAGTGAAACTTGTGCCCAACTGTCTGAAGATGTTTCGAGAATCAGTAAGGCTGCCAATATGTTGTTGTTCAGTCGTTAAGTCGTGTCCGACTCTTCGTGACCCCATGAACCAGAGCACGGCA